CAGGAAACCAGAAGTCAACGTAGTCAGGAGCGAAAAATCAGGAACTAGAAGACAAGTCAGCTAGACCGAGTTCTACACAGGAACACCCTGGAGATCATAGACCACGCATGGGCAAGGAGGAAATGAGCTAAGCTGCTAAAATAGCAAAATGGGCAGGCTGTATGCTGGACTAATGAGGCAGGTAATGGTATTCAGGTGAGTCACTGTGTAGACAACAACTGGCTGGTAATTAACTGACAGCTGAGCAGCTCCTGAGCACTGAAAGAAAAGAGCTGCTCATTCAGTAGCAGGAGTCCAGCCCTGACAGAACCCCCCCTTATTGACCCCTCCCACCAGGCTTGAGGAGAAAACATAAATGGAAAGCCCAGAGGAGCACAGGAGCATGTATGTCCAAGGATGAGACCCAAGAGCGTTCCTCCCGACCGCAACCCCCTCTAGTGAACTAGAAATTGTATGCGTCCCAAAACCTACAAGAGTCAATTATAGACTGTATCTCATATTCCTCATGGTTGTCAATCTAAACCGGATGAGGGCGTGGTACCAAGGTGGTATAGCAGTTACACACCAAAGGTTTTAATCAGAAAACATGGAATATGCCACTGGGTTAACCCTACGATGTATGCAGAAAGGCCCAATATATGGAGGTGCCAGTTTTAGTGAGGGAACACTGAGTCGGAAGTTTCGGGAAGACTGCCAGACTATCTCCCCAACTTGGTAGGAGGGTGCAGGTAGGTGTCATTGGTCAGCATGGAGTTTGTACCTTTCTGGAGCATTGCAAGGATTCTTGGATCTGCACCCAAGTGGAACAAAGTTCTTGAAGGTGTTCCTCTAATAAAGGAATTCCCTGTGAAACGAATGTATCAGGCACCATGGATGGCTGGAACCCAAAGTTCGCCATAAACGGAGATAACTGGGCAGTGGCATGGATGGCATTATTGTGAGCAAACTCCACCCAAGGTAACAGGTCTGACGAGTTGTTTTGCTGGTCTAACTTATAGCAACGTAGGCTTGCTTGGCTCGTTCTGTGGCCCCATTGGACTGTAGGTGATAGGAGAAGGAAAGCTGAATTCCCAACTGTGCACATAAGGCTCACTGAACCCTGGACACAAACAGGCTACCCCTGTCTGAGATAACTGTAGGTAACCCATGTAACCGAAAGACCTCCCAAGTGAATATTGATGCCAGTTCTTTTTGACATAGGCAACTTGCAACATGCAATGTGATTTTCGAAAACGGGTCAACCACCATAATAACTGTATTGCCCAGGGAGCTGGGTAAATCCACAATAAAATCAACAGACAAGAGGGTCCAAGGCCTCTCTCCACTGGGTATGGGTTGTAGAAGGCCTACTGGAAAGTGTTGGGGTGTTTTTGTTCTGAGCACACACGGGACAAGAAGTTACAAAAGCCGTTACATCAGTCCAGAGACTAGGCCACCAGAATTGTTAAGACAGACCACATGAGTTGATTTATTTTTTTTCCCTGGGTACACAACTGCTTTTGGAAGTATGTTAGGTCAGAAGCAAAGCAGTACAGAGATTCTCCATGACAAAGCAGCGGTCATGAGGTTTTCCAGGAGGAGAATGGATTTGAGAAGCCAGAATTCTCTCACACAAAGGTGAAGTGAGACTAGTGCAAATAGGTGTCACAATGTGGTCCAGAGGTGTAACGGAACTGACCCAGACTGCACTTGAGTACTTCTGTTAGAATAATGACACGGTGAGAAAATCAACATTTAGTAAAAAGAGACACACAGGTATTCAAACTTCACACCAGCAGACAGTCCCATCAGGAGGGAGGGCTGCTGGAGACCCCCCCCCCCCCACTAAGCTAATACACACAAACACATACATTCCATAATAGTTTGCTCCCATCAAGACACAATAGAACAATGGGATGCAACCACATGACATTAAACAATCAACCCCCCACCCCAATATTAGGACAGATCACCCTGTACCGTTAACAGGCACAGGGTGATTTACACATAAGAGGGATATGGGGAGCTGAGACAGGGGTCTCCCCACCTCTCCAAAGTTACTCTGGGTTCCATGGGCCCCCCACCCAAAGTGACTCCCATTACAAGAGGTATCACAGGAGTAGGTACAGACTCCATTTTGGAAGAGGAGGAAAACTGCCACGATAATGCATCTGCCCTTATATTCTTCATACTGGGTAAAAATTAGATTATGTGATTTGAAGCTTGACAGAAAAAGGGCCCACCGAGCCCTTCTAGAAGATAAGCATTTAGCTTCAGACAAGAATGTGAGATTCTTTTGGTCAGTCAAAATGAGGACAGCATAGTAGTACCCTCGAGGAGATGCCTCCATTCTTTAAGAGCTAAAATGATGGCTAATAATTCTCCATCCCCAGCTGCATTCTGCTGGAGACAATTTTTTTGAATGAAGGTTAATGTAGAATCAGGATGTGCAAGCACTGGGGCTGCAGCAAAAGTGGCCTTGAGGGATTCAAAGGCTTTAATATAGCCGGAGACCAATTTTAATATAATCCAGAGACCAATTCTGTGGGCTGCCCTCCTTTTTGGTCATATAAGTCAGAGGTTTGACCAGAGAAGAGAAGTTCTCAATACATTCCTGCTAATTGGCAAAGCCAAGAAAATATTGTAGAGGACATAGACATGGGTTGAGGCCAGTGTAAGAAGCAGACCATTTCTCTAGGTCCATCAAAAACCCAGCAGCAGATATGACATAACCCCAAAATTTAACCTGTTCACGATGAAACTTGTAATTTTTCAATTTGCAATACAGGTGGTTCTCTTTCAACCTCTGTAGCACACAGGAGACGTCTATGTGATGGTTCTCTAGGGATTTTTAATACATGAGAATATCATCGAGCAAAACCACCACATATTGCTGCAGCATATCTTGGAGGACATAATTAATTCCTGGAAAACTGCAGGAACGTTGCAGAGACCAAAGCGAATTATGAAATATTTGTTGAGTTCACTCCTAGTATTAAATTAAATTTTTTGATTTGTTACCCTCTTTAATTCTCACTAGATGGTATGCCTCACTCAAATCGAGCATAGTGAAGACCGGTGTTCCCTTGAGGCGATCAAATAATTCTGTTGTCAATGGGATCAGATAAGCATTTTTAATAGTAATGCGATTGAGACCCCTATAATCGATGCAGGGTCCCACTTTTTTTCTTTTTACAAAAAAAAAAAAACACTGTTAGAAGAAGAGGATCTGCGGATGAACCTCTGAGATAGTGAAACAGCAACGTACTCCTCCATAGCCTTATCCTCCAAGACAGACAGAGGGTAAGCCCAGCCATGAGGAGGAATGGCACCAAGTTGAAGATCAATTGTGTAGTCATTATTTATTTATTTCAGGTACTTATATAGCACCGTCAATTTATGCAGTGCTTTACATATATATATTGTACATTCACATCAGTCCCTAACCCTCAAGGGGTGTACAATCTAAGGTCTGTAACTCACATTCATACATACACATACTATGGACAATTTAGACCAGATCCAATTAACCTACCTGCATGTCTTTGGAGTGTGGGAGGAAACGGGAGTACCCGGAGGAAACCCATGCAGGCACAGGGAGAACATGCAAACTTCAGGCAGGTGGTGCCATGGCTGGGATTTGAACCAACAACCCTAGTACTGCCAATCGGAAGTGCTAACCACTAAGCCACTGTGCTGCCCGCATAAGTCCGATGTGGTAGAAAAATACCGGCTTGACCTTAGTCAGACATTAGAATTCCCGGTACTCCCTTGGCAAAGAAAAAACTAAAGACCTGCACAAGACCCTACTCACTTTCTGAAACAAGTATTAGTGTATTGTGGAGACCATGACAAAACCTCAGCTCTATGCCAATTAAATGAAGGATTGTTCTTCTGTAACCAAGGATAACCAATGGCAACTGGGTAATGAGGTGAGGAAATGACTTTGAATTGGATTATCTTATGGTAAAGAGCCTCTACAGCCATGGTCAATGGAGTGGTTCCATGGGTCATTTGGGCAGGCTGTAGAGTTCTCCCATCAATAGCTTCAATGGCAAGTGGGGAGGCTTGAGGCTGCAGCAGTATCAAGTGCTTCAACATGAAGGCACTATTTATGAACAAGCCCCAGAATCGATTAGTGCTTTGGTTGAAATCTTAGACCAGGAAAGTGTAGCTGGAACTAGAGGCTTATCTTTAAGGATAGCTGGGGATGCAAAGACTCCACCTGAGATCTGTCCCCTACAGGATCTCTGGTGCCAGCGTTTTCCGGACAGACTGGACAAGACTTTAATAAGTGGCCTTCTTGGCCACAGTAAAGGCACAATCTCTCCCTTCTTCTAAAGGCCCTCTCTTCAGCAGAGAGACTTGTGAAGCCCAGCTGCATGGGCTGTACTTCACTGGAGAACTCAGACCCAGGAGGCATGGGTGGGAATGCAAAGCTCTGAGCCAAATGTACAGGAGGCTTCCGCAAGCGCTCCTTAACCACTTGCCTACCAGGCACTTATACCCCCTTATTTACCAGGCCAATTTTCAGCTTTCAGCGCTGCCGCACTTTGATTGACAATTGCGCGGTCATGCAACATTGTACCCATATGAAATTTTGATAATTTTTTTCTCACAAATAGAGCTTTCTTTTGGTGGTATTTAATCACCACTGGGTGCTTTACTTTTTGCGCTATAAATAAAAAATTGCCAAAAATTTGAAAAAAAAAAAAAAAGTTTCTTTGTTTCTATTATAAAATTTTTCAAACAGGTAATTTTTCTCCTTCGCTGATGTGCGTTGATGAGGCAGCACTGATGGGCACTGATAGGCGGCACTGATAGGCAGTACTAATGAGGTGGCACGGATAGGCGGCACTGATAGACAGCACTAATGAGGTGTCACAGATAGGCGGCACTAATATGCAGCACTGATAGGTAACACTGATGATGGGTACTGATAGACGGCACTGACTGGCATCACTGCTGGGCACTGACTGGCGGCACTGACTGGCACAACCGCTGGGCACTGATTGGTGGCACTGACTGGCAGCACTGCTGGGCTGCACTGGTGGGTGGCACTGGTGGGCAGCACTGGTGGGTGGGCACAGGTGGGTGGCACTGGTGGGCACAGGTGGGTGGGCACAGGTGGGTGGCACTGCTGGGCACAGGTAGGTGGCACTTCTGGGCACAGGTGTGTGAAATTGCAGAGTGGCACAGGTGGGTGCACTGCTGGGCACAGGTGGGTGCACTGCTGGGCACAGGTGGGCGGAGCTAGTGGGCGCACTGCAGGGCACAGGTGGGCGGAACTTGCGGGTGGCACTGCTGGGCACCGATCATCAGGGCACTGATCATCAGTGCCCTGATGATCAGTGCCGATCCCCGCTCTGACAACTGCCGGTTCTCGGCAGTACTTTCCTCACGATCTGACAGCGTGAGGAAAGTGCAGCCGAGAACCGGCACTTGCATTTCCCTCTGATCAGCGTGTCATTGGACACCGCTGATCAGGTGGTAAAAGGCCGCTGTGATTGGCCTTTTACCACATCACGTGATCAGCTGTGTCCGTAGGACACAGCGATCACGGAGATCGCCGGGTGCGCGCCCCCTGGGGCGCACAGGAGAGCGCGTTCTGAGGGGACGTCATATGACGTTCACTCAGAACTGGCCGGCCGCAGTGCAGCCGTCATTCGGCTACCTGCGGTCGGCAACAAGTTAAAGGAAGGTCTCTCTTGGAAACTGGTATTAATGAGAATAGCAAATGAGATCAACTCCTCAAGGTTCTTATCTTTTAATGTTATCAGAGAGGCCATGGGAAAAAGCAGCCATGAGCCTCCCATTGCTCCAACCAACCTCTGCTGCCAAAGTAAGGAATTCAATAGTATAGTCAGCAACAGTTCTTGTACTCAGTGTTAATGAACATAAGGCTCTTGGCAGCAGAGGTGGAGCTAGACGGAATATCAAATAGCGCAAACTCGGTAAAACAGGTTTTTGTGCCTCCCATAGAGAGTTTGCCCAAGGAAAGGCTTTGTCAGAAAGCAAAAAAATAATGAAGCCTACTTTGCCTCTGTCCATAGGGAATGCCAGGGGCAGCATTTCAAAATATATTTCAACTTGGTTGAGAAACCCTACAGTGATCTGGATAACCCCCAAACCATTGGGAAGTGGAGCAGAACCAGTCATACATCTTAGTGGTAGTATCAGAGGTGGCTGCCTGAGCCGAGATGGGATCAGCAGCAGGGATATAGGAGGATGGAGATGATGAGCAGTTCAGATTAGGAGCAATTGTAATGCTTTGGCAAACTGATCCAACAGTGTTCCTGATCATCCAATCTGGAAAAAATATTACAACTAGGTGGATTGCCTGCATCTTCTTAATTCATGGCCCTTGCATAATGTCAGGAACCATAAACCAGTGCAGTTGAAATCACACCTTTAATTGAAATCACAAATATAGCAAAGATCAGGAATGTAGTGAAAACAGAAGCCAGGGTTTGGATGCCAGTGTGGGTAATCAGAATAGCCAGAGTCAGGAAACCTGTAGTCGGCATAATCAGGAGCCAAAAATCAGGAACAGGAACTGGGAGAGAAGTCAGCCAGACCAGGTTGAACACAGGCAGGAAAATGCTGGAGATCATAGACCATGCAAGGACAAGGAAGAAATGAGCTAAGTTGTTAAAATAGCAAAAAGGACTAGCTGTAGGCTGGACTAATGAGGCAAGTAATGGTATCCAGGTAAGTCACTGGAGAAAATGAGTGGCTAGTTATGAATTACAGCTGAGCTGCTCCTGAGCACTGAAAGAAAAGAGCTGCTCGTGGCATGAGCCCAGCCCAGCCCTGACACTCACTCACCCCAGGTTGGGATCTGCTGGCTCAGACAGCAGCATCAATCATGCAGCCATGATGAATCTCCCGCCTGCTGTCTTCAAAAATCCCATCCACATATTCCCTCTGTCAGGCACAGCACTGGCTGTACATAGGGTATTGCAGTGTGGGTGTCACATACCTGGATAGTGAGCCTGATGTAAAGAGGCAGACCTCCCGCGTATAACTCTGGCTCGAGGAGCGCTGATAGTGGGACAGCGGCCGCAGGGGCACGTTAGGGTAAGAGTGCCTGTGATCAGTCCAGTAGTAGCTGGTAGGCAGGTGAGCTGCAGGCTGCAGTGCAGGATGGATGGGCCACTGAGGAGTGCATATTGAGGATGCAGGGTCACACGAGCCGGGTTCAGTAGCGATCGGGCAGATCAGGCATAAACGGCAGTAGGAAGAGTAGTCGGATCACAGGCCAGGTCAGCAGCGGAAGATCAATCAAACAGCAGCTGGAGACAGAAGGGTAATCCAAGGCAATTTTATATATATATATAGTGCAGCGCTGAAATGTAATAAAATGGTATATATAGAGAGTCTTTCTCATGACAATAAAATCAAATATGTGCAGGTCTTCTCCTCATTAGGTGACTGGAAAATAGCAAGATTGCGCACTCACCGACCGCACATTTAAAATGCGCCTGTGTATGATATAATCCAAAAGACCAGCCAGGTATACAGCTCCAGAGACCACATGGATCCTCCCTCTTCCACACTCTCATCCGCCTTGGGTGTAGCAATATCTCCAGATCCAAAGGTAGATAGACAGAGATCCCCCTTTTTGGTTCCAGACACCCCAAGAATGGAAGATGTATATCTGCACTCTCCAACAGGAGAGTCAAAGAAAAAGGGGAACGCCAATAGTGTGGTACTATCAAAACTTTATTATAGGGAGCAATAATGCCTGGGTCATATGCACATACATATCCATACACCATAAGCCAATAACGGACAGGTAGGTATGAAAAGGAAAATTGTACTAACCCGGCAATGGCATAAAAACAAAGACCACTAGACCTCCTCTTGGTCTCAGTGGTCTGGAAGTCACACTTGCTACTTGGCTCCTCCTGAGGCCTTTCGTGCAAGAAGCACTTCTTCAGAGGATGGACGCCACGCAAGGCAAGCCAGAGGTCAAGGCAGGTAGTGGTCAAGCGGAGGTCAGGAACAAGCTGGTTCGGTATCAGGAGTCAATCACAGGAATCAGGAAACACAAGCAGGGATAAGACCAAACAGCAATGAGACATTTACTGCAGCCAGTATAAATAGCCCCTTTAGCGCCAGTATTAGTGACCGGCCTGGATGTGCAAGTGCGCATGCGTGCATGCGCCTATGCCGAAGTACCCACATATCTGTCCGGTTTGTTGTAATTCTGCGCATGCACATATTTGTGCGCCGTGGATCTTTGCTTGCACTATGGGCAGGTCTTTCCTGACAGTGGGCGGAGAAGAGACGGGTTGGGGGCGGGAGGAGGTGGAACAGATCTCACTCTCCTCTCCCATCTGTGTAGGGGGAGGGAGGGGGGGAGTTTGCTCTCTGGGCTGTGCGAGAGTGTTAGACACTCCTCCTTCACAACTGCAGCCAGTCCTCCTTTTTATATTCACAAACTAGTGCAGCGCAACTCTCTAAATTAATAATTGTTAGAACACATAAATACTCCTGTGAAAAACAACATACAGTATACAGTGATGGAAATAAATATTTGATCCCCTGCTGATTTTGAATGTTTGCCCACTCACAAAGAAACGATCAGTCTAAAAATTGAATGGTAGGTGTATTGTAACACTGGGAGATAGAATAGCAACACAAAATTTAAAAAGAAATGCATGTCTAACAAATTACGCACTGATTTGCATGTTCATGAGGGAAATAAGTATTTGATCCCCTTCACAAAATATGACTTAGTACTTGGTGGCAAATGCTTTATTGGCAATCACAGAGGTCAGATGTTTCCTGTAGTTGGCCACCAGGTTTGCACACATCTCAGGAGGGATTTTGGCCCACTCCTCTTGGCAGATCATCTCCAAGTCATTAAGGTTTGGTGGCTGATGATTGGCAACTCGAACTTTCAGCTCCCTCCACAGATTTCCAATCGGATTAAGGTCTGGAGACTGGGTTTGGCCACTCCAGGACCTTAATGTGCTTCTTCTTGAGCCACTCCTTTGTTGCCTTGGCTGTGTGTTTTGGGTCATTGTCATGCTGGAACACGCATCCACGACCCATTTCCAATGCCCTGGCTGAGGGAAGAAGGTTCTCACCCAAGATTTGACGGTACATTGCCCCATCCATCGTCCCTTTGATGTGGTGCAGCTGTCTTGTCCCCTTAGCAGAAAAACACCCCAAAGCAGAATGTTTCCGCCACCATGTTTGACAGTTGGGATGGTGTTCTTAGGGTCATAGGCAGCATTCCTCTTCCTTTAAACAGGTGAGGTGATTTGATAATAAAGAGCTCAATTTCAACCAGTCCTCTTCTGCATCATTCAGATGTTCAGTGGCAAACTTCAGATGGCCTGGACATGTGCTTTCTTGAGCAGAGGGACCTTGCGGGCAGTGCAGGATTTCAATCCTTGTCGGTTTAGTGTGTTACCAATTGTTTTCTTAGTGACTGTGGTCCCAGCTGCCTGGAGATCATTGACAAGATCCTCACGTGTAGTTCTGAGATGATTCCTCACTGTTCTGTTCTTATGATCATTGACACTCCACGAGGTGAAATCTTGCATGGTGCACCAGACCTGGGGAGACTGACAGTTGTTTTGTGTTTTTTCCATTTGCGAATAGATGCACCAACTGTTGTCACCGTCTCACCAAGCTGCTTGGCGATAGTTTGGTAGCCCAGTCCAGCCTTGTGTAGGTCTACAATCTTGTCCCTGACACCCTTGGACAGCTCTTTGGTTTTTGCCATGGTGGAGAGTTTGGAATCTGATTGTTTGATTGCTCCTGTGGACAGGTAACAAAATGAGATTAGCAGCACTCCCTTTAAGAGACTGCCTCTAATCTTAGCTTGTTACCTGTTTGAAAGACACCTGGTAGCCAGACATCCTGCTGAATAATAGGGGATCAAATACTTATTTCCCTCATGAACATTCAAATCAGTGCATAATTTGTTAGACATGCATTTCTTTTGAATGTTTTGTTGCTATTCTGTCTCTCAGTGTTACAATAAACCTACCATTCGATTTTTAGACTGATCATTTCTTTGTGAGTGGGCAAACATTCAAAATCAGTAGGGGATCAAATACTTATTTCCTTCACTGTATATAAGTGACCCCAAACTTAAAGACTATAAACAATCCCCCCAGTGATGTGTATCTCTTCCGTGAATATCTGCTCCTTTGATAATATTCAGTGTTCCTCTACCACAGCAGGTAAAAAATCTGCTCACCTCAAGGAAAGAAAATATGCGCCCATCAGGGTGTTTTCAAACTCCTCAGTCAGTGGCATCTCTTCTTATCTCCTCTCACCTTCCACTTACTCTGACATCAGGCCAAAAATGATCTCATGCAACAGACCGAAACATAATGCTCTCTGTATAACACTTGATTTTATCCCCCACTAAAATTGCACTTACAGATATAGAAATAATTGAGTACTGTCCGTGATACTTTTTTTATTTGCACTAACATATATATATGGGTATAGTACTGCTTGGACCT